CCGTGAGTAAAACACGGTCCCACACCAGTGATACGTTACTGGCGATCGATGCTGGCTTGCGTCTCAATTCAACTGCTTCAAAAATTAAACCAGAATCTTCCGAAACTCGAATAATGCACTTGGAACTTCGATTTCATGCTCGTCGATCGATCTTCCAAGGCATAGTGACAAATGGCTGCAGTTGCAAGGCACAAGTGCAACCTGCATCGACACGTAGTTGGCTGTAAGAGAATAAAAGCGCATTCCTATCGATCGATCGTGGAAAGCGTTGGACATACGGCAACAGCGGCATCGCTGGTCCCGCTGTCGTCTCTATCAACGAGGAATAGAGACCGCAGGCTCGCGATTCCGCTGGAAGTGCATCAAAATGCAGCGATATCGATGCATCGCGCGCGCGTAACACGGACGACAGATCAATGGAATCGCGACTAAGGTCCGTCTGTCGCGGCCGTCGGTATCGAGCGTTTCGCTGGCTCGATCGAGCGGCGCGCATGGCGGAGGCTCATGAATATTCAGCGGACAAGTTGTCCGCAAGACGCTCGCGGCTCTAACGGCTGACGTATACCCTTGTTGATCATAAGTGGGTTTGTTTCGCTGATTGTTGTCGCATCGAGGCGGCTGGCCCGGGGCCTGCCGTTGAATATGCATCGCGGGGTCCAGTTTGCTCGCGTCGCGATATGCCGATCCGCTTATAGCTTCTATAATTTGCACCGTGCCGATAAGCACGAGTGTCGGACCAGCCCCGGCGTGTCCGGAGCACGTGGAAACCGGTGCATAAAGCACGAGTGACCCGCGCGTTATATCCAACCGTGGTGCCAACTAATTTGCACGATAATGGCGAGCTACCAGCTCGCGATTTAAAGGTCGCCCGTGTTATCGAGCCGTTCATATTTCAATACGAACGTTGTCGATTTTTTTCCTCTCCCGATCCGCGAATTAATTATGTTCCCGCGGAATTCCGCGACGCAGAAAAGAACGCCTCTCCAGGTTGAACGATATATCTCAGACGTCGCGGAGCCAATGATCCTTGCAACGGATCAATGGTGCATATCGCGAAACCTGCTCCGCGCTTTGGCCGAAGCCTCGAAACCGCGAGACCAGCCACCTAGCGCGGTTCCAGCACGTTGCTCGAGCCTGGCAGTAAATTAATTTACCAAAGGGTACAAGGGGAACAAGTTGTCCCCCGGTCGGCCACGGCCGGCAATCTTCTTAATCGCGATGAATTCATCGTTGCTCGAGCTCGTCCCTGTGTGCACGCGCGAACACAGATTCCGATCGTTAACGCCTTTCGCTCCCGGGACCAGCAGCAACTCGATACCCGGTACATACTTCTTTTTCCTTCGTCAACGATCCACCGCCGCGATCGAGCGTATTACGAGCGTCCTATAAAATCGAGGGAACACAGGATGAGTGTACGCGAGGATATCGTGAGAGTCTGTCTCTCGCGCATCGATGGAAAGGCTGTAATGAGAGGCTGACGGCAGGGACACGAGCGGAGAAGTCGGGGATGCCATTCGATGGATTGGTATTGCGGGATATCCTGCGGTGATTATAGCGTCGCTTCAAAGATCGACCGGTCGACTAGCAACAAAATGTTCCAACTGCGGACTCCCGGTGCCACTTATCGGCTCCCCGATCGAGCGTGTACACGACAACGGTAGTCTTGCGCAACCTGTTCGAACCACCTTTTGCGACCTCGCGCTCGATTGCATCCATCGGAGCACGAATTATCGTCGGCACCTAACACGCATGATTGAGCGATCACTAGCTCGTTCCTGGGACGGAGGAGAGCCGATCGTGAGCACCCGATCATCGTCGGGAATCGTTCCCGTGGACGTGTGTGGTCGTTGCATCCTGCATCGAGCTACTTTGCGGACGGTAGCCATGACTGATCGTTCTCTAACTCTGATTATTGATCGAAACCATTCGGATCAGATACACGGAGGTAGATTTCTTTCTCGAACATCCGCTCTGCTTAGCGAAGCTTAACAACTACCGCGGTCATTGGCGTAACCAGCATTTTTCTCCGGGCTGAAACCTTTCCCAAAGTCTTTGATTCGTTAAATATTCGTTTGATTTCGAGAGACATCGGACCGTAAGATTTAGATTTTCTATCTTCGAAGTAAATCCAGTATCGAGTACTTTTTCTCTGTCAATAAATTATCGGGAGATGAATCTTTCGCCGAATAAATATCGCGTCAATTAATTGTCCGTTTATCTTCACCGGTTCAAACCCATCCGAGTTTCAAGTTCTTTCGAGGAACGCGCTTTAGACGAGATCGGGGATCGGCTAATGGAGAACTCGTCGGCGAATCGGGGGCTGAATCTCCGGCGGATTCGCCGCTGATTTATAAGGTAGTAACCGCTATCGCGCGTTTCTGTAATCGAGGGCCATTGATAACGCCGCGGTATCGAGCGACGATCGCGTAAAACCGGCGCCAGTACTCTTTAAACTCGACACCGGTCGCCGTGAAATCCTCCCTCCTAGCCTTCCTTCAACCGGACAACCCGGAAAATTACATTTTAATAACTGCTGCCGACGTTAAATGGGATCCTCGATCGTGGAAATTGCTTCCACATATCACGTCCCGTTCGCGGAACAGCCATAAAATTATCGATCTCAAATGAAACGAGTGGATCGTTCTAAAAAGTTCCCGGGGGAACACGCCGCTATGAAGATATCAAAACTATTCGATAACTTGCGCATTTAATGAGAGCAATTTCAACTTCACACTTTCGCGTGGAAGAAGAATCTCTCGGGATGGAATCGAAGTTACAAAGGCACAGTCGAGTCTTTAAAGGTACGAATACAATTCTCGCGCACGCGATCTATGCGTGCACGCATTCGCTTAAACGTGACTCGACGAAGAGAAGAAACGTATCCCGCGGCCATTCTACCCGCGGAATAAGAAATTTCTTGCGCGCCCGCTGCAAATGAGCATCTCAGAAAACTGAGAAGGGAGATTTAAATGCAAAGTGAGAATTCCTATGTTTTCATCCTCGACGATCGCTGATTAGACGTTCTTCCATTGCCTCGACAATTGCGAATGAAAAATCTGACTAATGAGTTTGAGGAATTTATGTCTTTGAAACTTCCACAGGCTGATTCTCCTGATGGTAATCGTTTTTCTAGTTTGAAGTGTTTAGAGTAATGTTTTCATGTTTTTCAGCATTGTAATTAGCTCATCAGGGTTTATGTACTCGTTAATATTCTGAATTAAGGTTGTTACTAACTTACGAGATACCCCGTCCGAATCAATAGCCCTGTTACAAGTGTTTCGATCTACAAACATGATAAATTACTTTGAACGCGATTGTCCCATTCGATCGATCGAAGAAATCGATCGAGCTAAGCGATTCGTGGATCGAAACGATCAGCGGGAACCTGCGGATCGGATCACGAACGCAGAGGCGCGATGTATGACCGTTGGTCACGCCAGCCTATCACTCTTCAGTACTTAATTACCCCCGGCCGATCAAGTCGGGGTGGTCCACGATCTCTTAGCATGGATACCGATCATTCGATACGTCCCTTGATTGTATTGATCTCTCTGCGTGATATCTGCTGGGTGATCGATCGAATCAACCTTCACCGTTCGCTGGATTCTCGATGGATCATGGAATATTTCATGGTTGGTATCATGACGAAGTCATTTCAAACTTAACTCCAAATGTCGCAGAGCTGTTGAAACGATATCAGGGTATCGTTTGGAAACTTTATCTCTGAAATGACCCCGCGGAAGCAGATCGTACCGGAAGATGTGTGTCGCGTGCCCCCCCCGGTGTACTATCACGTTCGCGTACCGACTCGGTACCGAGGTCGTAAAGCTGTTACACTTGGGAGAACTCGTGCTCGTCGACGGTGTGCAATTAAGATCGTCGTAATCTTCCTGTTTGTCGCGGTGTTTACAGCCTACACGTGTTCACTCGCCGGAGGAACCCCCTGCGAGAGAATAGTCGGAACGTGCGTCGACCGGCTGGTCGCAATTTGTCCTGCTTTTAAATCTCCATTTGATCGAGACGGAAAGGAGGTTCGTCGATACGAAAGGGGTAACCGTCGAGGATTAATAACCGTCATAAACCCCATTACTCTTGGCAACATATTCTGTTGCATATAACAGTACCGCAAACAATGGCCGCGGTGCTGGTTGCTCTCCGTTCGCGAAGCGTGTCCGGTGGATCGTTTCCACGCTCGTGGTCGCATGCCGGCCTGGAATAGACGGCAAGAAGCGACGCCGGGTCGCCGGATCCCGGCCTTTCCGGCCCCCACAGTGTGTACGTACGCTTTTCGTGCGGTCGGTAGAAAAACGACGCCGACCAGAGCCAGGCGAACTGAAACGAAGGATGCAGCACAGCGGAAGGGAAGCGCGGCGCAAACGTATGTATCCGTGACTAATCTTTCACGGTGAGGAGTCCCGCGCGTGTCCCAGTATCGTGAAGTTGTTGAATTATTGCCCTGTTATCTTGGATGGTTGCACAGCGTGGGAGGGGCGACGGCCCCCTTCAGATCCAGTTTCATGAAAGGCACCGACGATGCCCGCCTCTCTCACGGAGGAGACACCGTTTCTAGTTCTAATCTGTCGGCCATTTGTTAGACGGTTATGACGTCCACCGAGAGGGATGCAAGCAGCCGAGGAACGACGGGGTGCGTGGAAGGGGGTATATGATGCGAGCCACGTTGCTCGTGTCACCGTTTGTCCTCCGGTTAGCCATTGGGACCACCCTGCACGCCCGGCAGCACGATTTCGACGGATCACGGGCAACCTGCTCCGAACCTGCGCCCCAGCTACCTAAACCGACATTTTCCTCTTTACGCTCTGATTTATCGATCGATCGGTCATTGAACGAGATTTAACGATTTTCATATTTCTTAAACGGCTATTGCAATTGCTCGCTTAACAAGAAATTACAAAAAACGACGGCGAGATTTATGGCAATAGTTAATTACACTGACAAATTTCCGATTCTTAGTTTTCAATAATCATAACTATTTGTTCCAGTTACATCGATCAAGACAGCGACAGCCATTGGAAAGCCGTATATTCAACGTGCCTGGATACCTGTTCGGTGAGTCAAAGCATCTGACAGTTAGAAAATAAACTATCGGAAACGTTAAATGAACAATTGCGACGCAACGGTAACGAGATCTCTTGAACGTTTCGCCGATCGTTAACCGGCTAACTAAACGATTCTCTATGTACTTTCTGAACAAACGTAATCGCTCCTTCGAACCGTCAACTCGCTAATCAGAGCGATTCATCGGCGGTACGTGTTTTAAGGAAAAGTTACATAAATTTCCGCGGCGAGAGCGCATTTATATTCAACCGTTCGAGCATTTGTCAAGCCGGACAATGGTTTTATAAATGATACCGACGAGTTCGCGCCTCGTAGATCACGATGCCTGTACAATGGGAGGTATCAGTCAATCGAGGGTGCGCCAGGAAATTCGATATTCGCTTCGTGCATCGTCGACGCGATGGCGATTAATGATCCACTGGATGCTCCGGAGAAAATTTCAGCCCCCGTACTCGAACGAACGAGTCGAGCCACCCATTATAGCTCGTCTTCGAACGGGATACGCGTTACGTGTTAATTAAACATCATTAGACAGGCATTCGATCAGGAATTCAGTTTTTCGAAATTCGAAACCAAGACTGCGCTCGCGTTTGTCTTCTCAACTTTTTATTTAACACATTTAGGAGATAATAAATTGTCGAACAACCGCTGAAGATGTAATTGGGCCCATTAGTAACTGATTACTTCGCATAAGGATTAATTGGCAGTTTGATTCGCGAAACGCCAAGGATCACAGAATCCCTCCACTGTAAAGACGATTTTATTACTGCTGGTAGAGGACGCGTTTCTCGTGGTATCTGGGATCGTAAGACGCGGATGGTCGGCGAGATGCGCCGCCATAAAATACGAATCCGAATGAAACTAATTGCTTGTATCTGTTCGACAAAAGGAAACTCGTCGGACCCGTGCCAATAAACACGTCCCTTGTTCCCTCCTCTTGTTCGCTCGTTCCTTGTTCAGCCCGCGATGACGCAAGGTGGAACGGTTTCGAGCTACCTAAGGAGAGGCAGGGGGCCTTGGTTATTTATCCGCGGAAGGGTCTATTAATTTCCAGCCAATAATAACTCGGACTCCTCGTACTAATTAATATATGAGCACCATCGGGTCGGTAAGAGCAGGTTCGTCTCTCGGGACCATCTTAAAGACTCGTTCACCGGCTATCTTTCTCTCTCTTCGGCCTCTTGTTCTCCGCTTTCGTTACTGCTCGTCTCTGCTCCTCTGTTCATCGCACGGGACCGTTCGTATCGGCAAAACGATGATGAAGAACCGGCACTGCCGACAAAGATACCGCGACATGAGCCATGCGCTCTCGTTGCCAGCACCGCTCCACCGGCTCTAGACCCATTGAATCCTGATGGAGAGCCCGGGATCATCTTTATAGGTGTGTCGCGTCGATAAAAATTCGATCGACGAGAGTTGACTTCTGCCAAAATTGTTAGGGACGATTGTTGCATTCTTCAAATTCACTTGGGCTTTATAGACTGCCTGACAAATGGAAGATTCTTGAAAGGTTTTCAAGGATTTGTAGTGTTTTCTCAGAATTCAGTTATATGGTAGAACTCCATTTGTTGATAATAGAAGCTTTGAGAGCATGTCATAAACGAACTCAGCGATAGAGATGGAATTCAAAGGGAGGTAGCGGGCAGAGTTGGTCATTAGTTCAAATAATCTTCTGATACATATTAAAGGATCAGAAATAATTTTCTCTTGGAATGAAAATTTAAAGACATTAAATAATTTATTTTTTATTCTGGTGGCGAGAAAGGAAGCGACGTATTTCCTCGGTAGGTGTGTCCCGATGTCACAGGCGCAAAGTTGACAGGGTAGGTGCACCGGATGTCCTTTCTACGACGTTACATTGGCGCTCGGAAGTCGTAGAGACACGTGTATGACACGGTGAAGCACGCAGCAATTCGCGCGAACTTATGACCCGAGTCCACGCACATTACACGCATTGCAATACGTACGTAAGCGACCATTGGGCGTAGTCCTGGCCATTGTCCCGTGACAGACGCTCGATTGTCCCTATTAATATGAAGGGGGATCTCTCTCTGATATCCTCGAGTGCCCTCGTTTCCTGACTTGCCCACGTACGAGACACCTACTTGCAATACCCTCGTCGCGCGTTGACGATCGGTCGTCTCTTCCTGCGGCCTACTTCCTGTGAGTAACTACACCGGAAAGGTGCGGAGATGTTGAAAGAAAAAGTGTACACGGTGAAAATGAACGGTTCGTTTGCCACGAGACTTAATCACGCCCACGTTACGCGGTAAATAGTTCGCACGATCATTATTTTAACTCCTTGCCCTCGAATCAAGTCTGCGCTCTGCTTCTTTTTTTCTTTCTTCGGCTCGAAACTGTAGCATAGAGAAAGTTGAAAATTAAGTAAGCTCTCGAGCGAAACTTCGCGTCCATTCGACGAATTTCTCGTCTCGTATCGGTAACGGTGCGGAATCATGTTCGCTGATAATCGATAAAATTCTGTCCGAGGTTTTTATTAGACCGTAAAATCGGGTCGATTCGAACGAATGTGGTGAACGGTTTTTTTTCCCGAAGGTCGTCTCGATAACGTCCCATCGAAATCCTTCGGGGCCACTGAAAATCATTTTATTCGCGCGATATATTATAATGCGGTGTTATACGTTCGTGGTGTTTGCCCGTGATACGAGGATGACGATGGTACCGGGTATGTATTGCGAACCTGGCGCGACCTATACGGCCGCCTACGTTTTCCTTCGTAACAAAGAGACGCGCGTTTCTTTCCTCGTCCACCCACGTGGCGACATAAAAATATCCGCGCAGGTGGTAGCGAGAGAAAATTATACGCGGCTCGTTTCTTCGGATTTTACCAGATTTCGCTTTCGTACGTGAAAATCGCCGCACCTTCTACAAATAAACCGGGAGTACCGTTAACGCGAAGTAGTTTTCTGCATAATTCCTAGCCCGAGGGTTTAATAAACTTGGTTCCAATTTTTCCATCGAAGAATCCTTTGAAATCCTGTAATCCTTCAGATCGATTCGCTTTATTCCGCGATGGATCGTGCCTGCGAATTATAGAACGACTCTTGTAAATTCAAATTGGGCCAGCGAGTCTGTTCGATTAAGGACAGTAATCCCTTATCGACTTTGCTATCGGCGATGCGCTTCGAATCATCGTTTCCTCGTTTCATGCTCGCATTACCGGGCTCGATCTTCTTCGCATGGAATCTCATGCGTCACAAGTCGATAAAACGTCCGTTGGAAATCGCGAACAGTTTCGGTGCAGGTTCGCACACAAAGGTCGCTGCGATATCGGTACGAAAGTCGTCCGGCCTCGCGAAAGCCGAGAGAGGAGAACGAGGGAGGAAAGTTGCCCTTCTGTTTAGCATTCGCGATGATATCTGGATGGAGTCCAGAGTGGGCTTAACGGGCTGTCGCTCGATATGGGCGCGGTCGCCTCTTCGGGGTTACGACTTGGTCGTCCTCCTCGCTACAAATCGTGCTCTTCCTTACCTCTGCCCACGCGTGACAAACAGGTGCTTTTTTCGTACACCTCGCTACTTTTCAAACCACGTATGTTAATATCACTTTTTTCTTTTCGATTCCAAGTTATACAGATTTCGTAGATTTAGGTCAGGACGTTTGAATCGTTCCTACCGCAGCAAATGTCTGCACGTTTCTCATAAATAAAAATAATGAGTTTGTTTTGTTACGGCGACAGTTGTCTCTTAAAATACATTCTTCGACCTTTATCCGTGCAGCGCTACCGAAACGATTCTATTTCGACTTTCACGTCGTCATTCTGGTACGTGCAAGTGGTTTCCACCCAGGGGATCAGTCCTTCACCCCACGAGGTATCTCTTTCCCAAGATACACCTGGTTGATAAAGCAACGAAAACATAAGGTTCGCGGGGCCTGTTACATTTTAGAACGAGATGCAACGTATCACGAGTACCCTGTCATTGCGGGGCCTTGACTCTCGACTCCGTGCTCGGAGAATGATGCGGTCGTTTTCATTCGTTTCGAACGTGCGAATGCGAGCGCATTTCGCGCGATCGTTTAACAGGAAATTCAATTACGAAACCGGAACCTATTCGTATACCCGTGGACAAATTCATTTTCCAGCCGTATGAATTCCACCCCCGAGGCAAAAATAAGAAGATCCGAAGAAAAGAAGTCGTTTCGTCTTATCGCGGATGGTTTATTCGTAAAGTTATTTCATAAAGTTTATGAAAGAGCGAACGGATGGAACGGGGCTGTAATTAATTGGCGAGATTAGACGCAGCCGTGGCATCGGTATTATGTCTTCAAGCCCTGAAGCGCGTCAAGCAACGATATACTTATTCAAATTCTATTCTACCGTCGCGTTCACCTTCGGCGTCGTGTATAATATCTGCGATCGCTAGCCGTGAATAGCAGCTCGCAAGGGTAAGGCAAGCCGTGTGCAGTTCTCTGCGCAGGCCACAGTCGCGTTCTATAGGATGATCGAGCAAGTCAGATAAGGAGGAGACTCTCGCGGGGGTCAATCGTTAATTTCTACGGAATTCCACGTGCTGACAATACGGGGAATACAGGTGGACGGTAGATGAGAGATAGGAGAGCGTGGCCAGCTTGCACGAGCTCCTGACGACGCGAACGACGACACGACTCGAAACGAGGAACAAACGAGAGCACCTTCACTGCTGGTTCCCTCGAAGCAAAGCGAAACGAAACGAAACGAGAGGAAAGGAAACGAGGCAACTTGGGCACACGTGGTGCAAGCAATCCCTTTCTTTATTTTCTCTTCTTGTCTCCTCGGATCCTCCTCGCTAACTCCGTTCATCCTCGTTTCTTTTCTTCTCTACCATCATTCTTTTCTCGGCCGACCGTTCGAATCCACGCCATCCTGGACCCTGGATCGAGTCCAGCTAGGTCGATCGTGGCATACGGGACAAGACGGGGTCTCTACGAGTCCGAGACGTGATACCTCGGTTCTCGGAATGACTCGAAGAGTCGCTGCACCCGCTGCAACC